ACTGCTAGACTCAAACCCATTTTCAAGTAGCCCTTGGCCCTGAAGACTCAGGCTGTTCTTTCCCAGATTGGCATTTTCAGAACCAGGCTGCTCCTCTAGGCCAAGAGGATCAATGCAGCATAGAAGCTGGTGAATATCAGGGATTTCTAGAGGAAGAAGTGGAGGATCTTGATTTTCTGTTGGGAACTGGTAGGCATCTAGAGGCTTTAAAATCTTCATTTTAATCTCATCCAAATCCTTATTCTCGGTTTTGTCCTGGCTTGGAGCTGGAGACCAAGAGACTGGTTGGACTCTGGACTGGAACTATCATTGAAATGTCCCCAAGCTCAGGTGATGGATTACTCTCAAGTATCTGGGTATTTCGGGTACTGCAGGACTTGGTGAATTCTGGAGTTTGTGCCAGACACAATGTCTGGCTTGCAGATTGCAATCCCAGGGAGGTATCCATCCCCAGGGAAGTTTCCATCACTACAAAGGAATCAAGGAAGAAGTCAATCCCTGGTAAGTGAGATGTCCCCCTACATACAAATACAGCAATTACATACCTTTCTAACATGGGCAAGAATTTCTGTTGGCTCTTGTTCAGGGTCATGGACAAGACTGTGCATTAGGGGATAGGCAGTGACTGTTCTCTTACTGTTTATCATTTTATGTGATTGTTTCTTGGCTTTCTTTGAATTTCATAGGGTTGTTGTAAGCCAAATAAAAAGTCAAAGTGATTTTTAAATAGGAGATGATTTATAAAGCCTCACATTTTCATATAGGGTAACCCTTTACACCATGGACTAGGGGAGAGAGTGGAGCCCTCCCTCTTGAAATACATAAGCAAGCACAGACTCTGAGCCTGTTTGTTTTGGGGAGAATCTCTGAGCAAAAGGTCTTAAATCCTACTGTAAGTTAAGGAAAATCAGAAGGTCACTGCCAAGATAAGACTTCTGAAGTGCCTTCCAAGGAGGCTGAAGTAATAGATTCAGGAAGGAAGTTACAGCATCTGGTGCAGGAGAACTGATCAGCCAGTGCACTAAAAAGTGTGGTATCTCTTGCGACTCTCTTAAATGTGGCATATATGGCCATTACAGTGTTCCACTTTCCCTCCTACAAGGTGTTCTTACATAGAGGCTGAAAATGGAGAGCAATGCCCAAGAATAGTGGTTGAAGTCTCAGGACTTAAATTCTACCTGCCCGTGGACTTACCACTCAGCTATAGATTTGACCCTCCTTTTCAGTGCTGTATTTATTGTTCTCCTTTTTTGCTGTTTGTACTCACCTTGAAAACTGGTTTCTGTGCTGGGTTGAGCAGACACAGAGTAATGCATCCCGGAAGTGGAGACTGGTGGTCGAACTTTTGTGGGCTGAACCTCCTTTAGCACCATCACCATTTCTGGTTGATGGGCAGAGGCCCTATTTCCTGGGTATGACGCAGAACCATAGGATTGCAGCCTAGGGCCAATTTCTCCAGATAGTTGAGGCCCCGGTGTGCCTGGATTATAGTAATAGACCTGGCTTCCTGTCTGGTAGGGAAGTGACAGGCTATGGCCCTGCTGATTTGGAATTTGAGATTGTATCCTCTGAACAAGGCTGGCAGATAGTGTTGGATACAATGGGACTATAGTATTTGCATGTGAAGTTTTATGCTGGGCTGTCATAGACATGGAAGGGACAGCTGTGTTCTGGTCAATGACAGTCACAGTGAAGTCCCTGAGTGAGGGTGACTACTTTGCTGTGCTTCTTGTAATATCCCACTCAAAAATGCCTGGGTAAGAGGCAGCTGAAGTTGAGCTATGGCTCTGGCCACTAACCCCAGACAACATAGATGTGCTAGAATGTTGGTAAAGGTAGGCACTGCTCGTGAGTGGCTGGAAAGAGGTGCCAGAGGCTGATGGCAGTAGCCATGCTGAGCTAACAGCTGGAGCAGTGGCTCTGGAGAAGTTGGAAATGCTTCCTGTTAGGGAAGCCTTATTGCTCACCACAGGAAGAGAGAGCTGCAGAGAATTTGCAGTTCCAAGTAAAGAAGTATTTTGGAAATGTTCTGTAGGAAAGAAGAGAGATGAACAAACTGGTGAGATTGAGAAAATGTCACCTTATCTGAAGAACCACATCATCTTAAGATTGTTGCCATCAGGAAGCCTCTAATACCGATACTCACTGAGATACCAAAAGCCAAACACTTTATGATGGCCATGAGTGCTGAAGCAGTTTGGTCCTCTTCTGATGAACTGTCTTTGTGTCCAATATGGGCACAGATGTGCAGAAGATCCAAGAGGTCTGGGTCTGTATGTTATTTCCTAGGCTAGAAGCAACCTTCTCCCTTCCCTGTCTTTCCCTTGAATCTGGGCGAGTGTTGACTCCTAACTATTTCCTAGAATTGGAGCATTTTAGAACTGGGAGGTTTTTAGAGAAGTTCTAATATTTTCATTTTATGAGTACCTGAGGCTGAGAGAGGTCAGATTGACCTGTTTAAGATTTACCATTATGTTAATGTCATTACCATGACTTCCTTGCCAGGACCCTTTTCTCTGAGTGTAGACCAGAAACCAGGAGAAATAGACCTTTTAATATGGCAATTTTGGCTTAACGAGAATATAGTACAGCTATTACTTTTATAATCCTTAGTGTCACATTTTGCTTCTACAGGTGATGTGACATTGCCTAGCATTTACCTTTAAGCCAGGCCATTGGTAAATCTGAAGGGTCATTCTTTGCCCTTTTCAAGCCTGGCTTTTTATCCTAAATCAAAATACTACCTAATAGTTTCAGAAGAAATGGGGTGTGTGTGTGTGTGTGTGTGTGTGTGTGTGTGTGTGTTTCTTTTTTGACAGAGTCTCATTCTGTCATCAAGGCTGGAGTGCAGTGACTTGACCTTGGCTAACTGCAACCTCTGCCTTTGGGTTCCAGCAATTCTCGTGCCTCAGCCTCCTGAGTAGCTGGGATTATAGGTGCCCACCACTGCACATGGCTAATTTTTTGTATTTTTAATAGAGACAGGGTTTCACCATGTTTGCCAGGCTGATCTCAAACTCCTGACATCAAGTGATCTGCCTGCCTTGGCCTCCCAAAGTACTGGGATTATGAGGTGAGCCACCATGTTCAGCCTAAAAGCATCATTTCTCAAACACATTTCTAAAATATTTATATTAAAAACTGTCAAGTGTCATCTATGTTCAAAAGGGCAACAGAAAAAAACAACTGAATGTGCCTTCTGATAAGCTGCTTTATCTAGGGATGCTCTATTCTATCCTGTTTCCTTCCTAGGTTATTGATCTAAGCATTTGCTAAAACCAACTTCATTTTGCCGTATCCTGAATAGATTTCCCTCTGTTGCCTTTGTGCTTTTCTTCCAAAATTTAAAATACGCTTTTTTCTCTTGAAATCATGTAATTCTCCAGAGCACATCCCAAGGGTAAGTGTAGGGGACCCGGTCTTTCTGCTTTCATTTAAAATCCCAAATCCCTTACCATAGAATATCTGCCTCCTTATAACCCAGTACTCTTCATTTTCTCTTTTCATCTAGTTCAGAGAGGAATCTCCAGAGCGTGAATATTATGTTTGTTTGTATGAAACAGGGTCTGGCCTTGTCACACAGGGGGAAGTCCAGTGGTGTGAACATGGCTCACTGCAGCCTCAACCTCCTGGCCTCAAACAGTCAACTCATCCTCCCACCTCAGCCTTCTGAGTACCTGGCATGCCCCATACCTGGCCAATTTTTTTTAATTTGTAGAGATGGGGTCTTGCAATGTTGCCCAGACTGGTCTCGAACTCCTAGGGTCAAGCGATTCTCCCATCTCACCCTCCCAAAGCACTGAGATTACAGGTGGGAGCTACCAGGCCCAGCTTAATATTAAATACATCACTACACATCACTAAATATAAAATAGTAAAGTTGAAATATTAGTGAGGGAGATGTCCTCCCAAAGTGCTGAGATTACAGGTGTGAGCCACCGTGCCTGGCTGAATATGTAAAACATCACTAAATTTAAAATAGTGAAGTTGAAATATTAGTGGAGGGAGACTATTACACATGAAACACCTCAGAATATGTTGCTAGTTTTCTATGTCACTTAGGTTTTCTCTCTGTTTCTGTTTAAATAAACACCCTCAAAAAGTGTCTGATTTCATTTTCTGTATGTGTGCCCTTTAAGACTCAGCGTTAGAAAAGAAAGGGGCAAGAGGGAATAACGAATCTATTATCCTAATGTAACAGATGAGGAAACAGATTTTGTGAGAGAACAAAAGAGTCCTGTAAAGTCACACAGCTAGTAACTGTCAAAGCCAAAACTGAAATGAGGTCTCTAGATTTCTACTTGAATAAGTTCCCTGATATTCCAAGCTGTCTGGGACTATAGGGGTAAAGAAATCTAAAGTTGGGGGAAAGACGTCAAATGAAAAACTGTCAAGAAAGGTTCTCTCTTTACCTGACAACCTCTGCCTCCTGGGTTCAAGCAATTCTCCTGCCTCAGCCTCCTGAGTAGCTGGGATTATAGGTGTGTGCCACCATGCCCTGCTGATTTTTGTAGTTTTAGTAGAGAGGGTGTTTCACCTTGTTGACCAGGATGGTCTCCATCTCTTGACCTCGTGATCCACCTGCCTCGGCCTCACAAAGTGCTGGGATTATAGGCGTGAGCCACCACACCCAGCCAAAAATATAATTTAAAAATAAACATTATTTTATTAATTTAGTAATGACATATTACTTTTTGTTTTGCTTTAAGAATGTTTTCACAGAATCCAAATGTTTACCAGAGAGGCCATATCCCTCTTACTGGTCCCCCTGGAGAAGATTATTCACACAGGAGGTACACTTGGAATGTGAAGCCAAGTGCCAGTTGAGCAGCCCAGGAGAGAAGGAGGTGGTATCCTGACAATTACTGTGGACGATCCTATCCAGCCTATTGGAAATGGACTCAGTGATACAAACCTGGCCTGGAATTCTACCTGGTGACCAGAGCTGGCTTGAAGATTGCTGGTGATCAGATCTAATGAGGTTTCTTTGTTTCCTTTTGTGTTCAAGCTTAAGGAAAAATTATATTGCTGTTTACCTTACTAGGAAAGTGGCACAGTGTTACTGGCTTGTGTGTGGTTGTGAAGGTGAACTGAAGTAGTGCATCTCAGTGGCCCATGCATAGGTGTTGAGTCAATGGTGATCTATACTCCAGGGTCTTTTCTGGGTCAGCTTCAGGCTGCTGCAATTCACTTGGCTGGGTCCCAGGTTTTTAGCTGCACCTATAACTGTGAGCCCTTCCCCTGGTGGTAGATTCCCCTGTTTTGTACTGACCTTTCCCAACTGTGATCATGTATGTATAAAGTAACCCAAAGCTGTTGAAGATGAGTCCTGAATCTTATTTTCTAAAACACCTATCTGATAGGCCATGAGACATAAGGCCATCATCCACGGGAGATTTTGTACATTTCTTTTGCTCCACGCAGCCTTATCTTCTGCCATCTTCAACTTCTATCCAAATTTTATTCTTTTATTCCTAACCTCAGATTCTGAATCTTAACTTCTGCCATTTCCCCCATTTCTGATTCTTTGTATAGCCCATAAAATCTCTCCCCTTTTGACCTTCTTAGTCCTGGACCATGTTCCTTCCTCTCTCCTCAATTCTACTGTCTATTCAACCACCATCCAACTTTCAGTACCTTCTTGTGTTTATTTCATTTATTTATTTTTTTATTTTTTGAGATGGAGTTTCGCAGTGTTGCTCAGGCTGGAGATCACAGTGGTGTGATCTCGGCTCGCTACAACCTCTGCCTCCTGTGTTGAAGCGATTCTGCCTCAGCCTCCCAAGAAGCTCAGATTATAAGAACCCACCACCACACCCAGCTATTTCTTTGTATTTTTAGTAGAGATGAGTTTCACCATGTTGGCCAGGCTGGTTGCGAACTCCTGACTCAGGTGATCCACCCACCTTGGCCTCCCAAAGTGCTGGGATTGCAGGCATGAGCCACCGTGTCCAGCCATAATTTCTTATAAGGCAGCCTTTGATCCCCACCCCCACCAAGGAAAACCCACAGTCAACAGCATCTCAAAACTCAAACGCCTATCTATTACTCATCATTAATTCTATTACATTTCTTTATCAAGTTTTTAAAATATATTATTGGAATAAAGAAAGCAGTATCTATCTATATATTTGGAAAACCAGCTGGTATCCAAAGTAAAGCCTACAGTCTCAGCAACTCTTGGAATCTGTAGCCATAGTACTCAGAAATTTCCATCATCTTTTTCCCTCTGGGTGAAGAACTGCAGTTTCCCCAAAGAGGTGTATTTGGCAGCATTCTCACGCGCTTGCTGAGCCTTCCTCTTCATGGCCTCACGCTCTGGCCTCTGCTCTTTTGTGATGGGCATTGACACTACTGGCCCAGAAATGTCAGGTGTCCTCCATGGCCTGTGTTGTAAACTGAAGTCTTGGATTAGGAACTGATTTTGAGGCTTGGGCAGTGACTGGAGATTGGTCACAGCAGTGAAAACAGGCTCCCGCTGGAGAGAAGAGCAAGATGATGTTTTGTAAGGTGCTGGCCTAGAAGCAGCAGACTGAGAGGCAATAGGAGGCTGGTTAGGATTGGTTGAACCGGGTTTGGTTGCACTGGTCGAAATTGGCTGAGCTGGTCTGGCAGGACCTGTCAAAGATGTGTTGGTAGGAGCCGGTTGGGATGGACTGACAGCAGTTGACTGAGCTGAGTTAGTAAAATTAGGTGGAGAAGGACAAGCCACAGCAGGCCTACGTGAGGCTGGAGGGTGTGGCCGCCGAGAAACAGGTCGAGCTTGAGGTTTGTCTGGGGTCAGAAAGGGCAACGGTACCAATTTGACCTTCCCAGGTGGTGGCAACTCATTCTGGGATGGAGATGGACACTCTTTTTCAGCATTATCCAGTTTCTGGGCCTTGACGTGAGTTTTGTCCAGGTCTTTCCCCTCACATCGGGTAGCCAGCCATGGATTAAGAGCTGAGAATGGCTGGGGGTTCTGGGTATTGCTTGAGCTCCCCAGAGTCTGGGAGGAAGAGAATCCAGTTTTCTTGTCAGTCTTTTTCCCCAGTGCATGGAAAACTTGCATGGACTCTAGCATATGCATGCCTAGGGAGGTTCGTGGCTTTTTGAAGGTCTCTTGGCTAAGCTCAGGTTGATTTTTCTTCCGCTTCCTATTAGGAATGCCTTGCTTCTCTTCGACCTTGATTTTGGTCCCTGACTTCTTACTGTCTCCGGATTTCTTGGAGCTGTTCTCTCTGTTCCTTTTGGTCTTCTCCTGCCCGTGCCTCTTAGTTGTGCTGCCTCTGCTGGATGCGGCTTTGTGACGTTTGTTGCTAGAACGCATGCGCTTGCTCACAGAAGCGCTGTCACTGGTGGTAGCCCTGCAAACCGTCACTTCTTCCTCTAATAGGCTCTCTGGGTTCTTTGGCTGGATTTTGGTCTTGGGAGCACCCTGGATAGGCTCGGCAGCTTTATGCTTGTTCTTCCTTACTTGATCAGAGTGACCCTTTATGACACTTGACTTTTCCTGTACCTGATTTACCTTGATGGTGCTGGGATCTTTGGCTTTCTTGCCTGAGGGACTTTTGGATTGGTCAAGATCTTGTATGGAACTGAAGATGTAGGGACTTTTGGGTTGGTCAAGATCTTGTAGGGAACTGAACATGGAGGGACTTTTGGGTTGGTCAAGCTCTTGTATGGAACTGAACATGGAGGGACTTTGGGGTTGGTCAAGATCTTGTAAGGAACTGAATAGGGAGGGACTTTTGGGTTGGTCAAGAACTTGTAAGGAACTGAAGATGGAGGGACTTTGGGGTTGGTCAAGATCTTGTAAGGAGCCGAATAGGGAGGGACTTTGAGGTTGGTCAAGATCTTGTAAGGAACTGAATAGGAAGGGACTTTTGGGTTGGTCAAGATCTTGTAAGGAACTGAATAGGGAGGGACTTTTGGGTTGGTCAAGATCTTGTAAGGAACTTGAGATGGAGGGACTTTGGAGTTGGTCAAGATCTTGTAAGCAACTGAATAGGAAGGGACTTTTGGGTTGGTCAAGATCTTGTAAGGAACTGAATAGGGAGGGACTTTTGGGTTGGTCAAGATCTTGTAAGGAACTTGAGATGGAGGGACTTTGGGGTTGGTCAAGATCTTGTAAGGAACTGAAGATGGAGGGACTTTGAAATTGGTCAAGCTCTTGTATGGAACTGAAGATGTAGGGACTTTGGGGTTGGTCAAGATCTTGTAAGGAACTGAATAGGGAGGGACTTTTGGGTTGGTCAAGATCTTGTAAGGAACTGAATAGGGAGGGACTTTGGGGTTGGTCAAGATCTTGTAAGGAACTGGAGATGGAGGGACTTTTTGGTTTGTCAAGATCTTGTAAGGAACTGAAGATGGAGGGGCTTTTGGGTTGGTCAAGATCTTGTAAAGAACTGATGATCGAGGGGAGGTGAGTATTCTCCACCAATGTAGTGACGTCTGCAAGATCACTGCTAGACTCAAACCCATTTTCAAGTAGCCCTTGGCCCTGAAGACTCAGGCTGTTGTTTCTCAGATTGGCATTTTCGGAACCAGGCTGCTCCTCTTGGCCAAGAGGATCAATGCAGGACAGAAGCTGGTGAATATCAGGGATTTCTAAAGGAAGCACTGGAGGATATCGGTTTTCTATTGGGAATTGGTAGGCATCTAGAGGCTTTGAAATCTTGGTCTTAATCTCATCCAAATTCTTATTCTCAGTTTTGTCCTGGCTTGGAGCTGGAGACACTGTCAAGAGATTAGTTGGACTCTGGACTGGAGCTGTCATTGAAATGTCCCCAAGCTCAGGTGATGGATTACTCTCAAGTATCTGGGTATTTCTGCTACTGGAGGACTTGGTGAATTCTGGAGTTTGTGCCAGACAAAATGTCTGGCTTGCAGATTCCAATCCCAGGGAAGTATCGATCCCCAGGGAAGCTTCCATCACTACAAAGGAATCAAGGAAGAAGTCAATTTCTGGTAAGTGAGATGTTCCCCCTATATGCCAATGCAGCAATGGGATACCTTTCTAACATGTGTAAGGCATTTTTACTAGCTCTTCTTTAGGACCATGGACAAGATCCTGTATTGGGTGATAGGCAGTGACTGTTCTCTTACTGGTTATCATTTGATGTGATTGTTTCTTAGCTTTCTTTGAATTTTATAGGGTTGTTATAAGCCAAATAAAAAGTGAAAGTGATTTTTAAATAGGAGATGATTTACAAAGCCTCATATTCTCATATAGGGTCCCTTCCATTCTCTCCACTCTCTTGAGAGAGTAAGAACCCTTTACGCCATGGTCTAGGGGAGAGAGTGGAGCCCTTCCTTATAAACTACATAAGCAAGCACAGATTCTGAACCTGTTTGTTTTGGAGAGGATCTCTAAGCACAAGGTCTTAAATCCTATTGTAAGTTAAGGAAAATCAAAATGTCACTGCAAAAATAAGAGTTCTAAAGTGCCTTCCAAAGAGACTAAAGTAACAGATTAAGGGAGAACGTTACAGTGTGCTGGTGCAGGGGAACTGATCAGCCAGGGCACTAAAAAGTGTGGTATCTCTTGGGACTCTCTTACATGTGGCATAGATGGCCATTATAGTGTTCAACTTTCCGTCTTAGAAGGTGTTCTTACGTAGAGGCTGAAAATGAACAGCAGTCCCCAAGAAGAGTGGTCGAAGTCTCAGCACCCAAATTCTGACATTCTGTGGACTTACCACTCGGCTATAGATTTGACCCTCCCTTTCAATACTGTGTTTATTCCTCTCCTTTTTTGCTGTTTGTACTCACCTTGAAAACTGGTTTCTGTGCTGGGTTGAGCAGACACAGAGTAATGCATCCCGGAAGTGGAGACTGCTGGTAGAACTTTTGTGGGCTGAACCTCCTTTAGCACCATCACCATTTCTGGTTGATGGGCAGAGGCCCTATTTCCTGGGTATGACACAGAGCCATAGGATTGCAGCCAGGGGCCAAGTTCTCCAGATAGTTGAGGCCCCAGTGTGCCTGGATTATAGTAATAGACCTGGCTTCCTGTCTGGTAGGGAAGTGACAGGCTATGGCCCTGCTGATTTGGAATTTGAGATTGTGTCCTCTGAACAAGGCTGGCAGATAGTGTTGGATACAGAGGGACTATAATATTGGCATGTGAAGTTTTATCATGCTGGGCTGTCATAGACCTGGAAGAGACAGCTGTGTTCTGGTCAATGACAGTCACAGTGAAGTCCCTGAGCGAGGGTGACTTCTTTGCTGTCTTTGCTGTAATGTCCCACTCAAAAATGCCTGGGTAAGAGGCAGCTGAAGTAGAGCTATGGCTCTGGCCACTAACCCCAGACAACATAGATGTGCTAGAATGTTGGTAAAGGTAGGCACTGCCCATGAGTGGCTGGAAAGAGGTGCCAGAGGCTGATGGCAGTAGCCATGCTGAGCTAACAGCTGGAGCAGTGGCTCTGGAGAAGTTGGAAATGCTTCCTGTTAGGGAAGCCACATTTCTCACCACAGGAAGGGAGAGCTGCAGAGAGTTTGCAGTTCCAAGTAAAGAGGTATTTTGGAAATGTTCTGTAGGAAAGAAGAGAGATTAACAAACTGGTGAGATTGAAAAAATTTCACTGTATTTGAAGAAGAGCATTATCTTAAGGTTGTTTCAATCAGGAAGCCTCTAATACCGATACTCACTGAGATACCAAAAGCCAAACACTTTACGATAGCCATGAGTGCTGAAGCAGTTTGGTCCTCTTCTGATGAACTGTCTTTGTGTCCAGTTTTGGCACAGATGTGCAGAAGACCCAAGTGGTCTTGCTTTGTACTTTATTTCCTAGACTACAAGCAAACTTCTCCCTTCCCTATCTTTCCCTTGAATCTGGGTGAGTATTGGTTCATAACTACTTCCTAGAATTGGAGCATTTTAGAACTGCGAGGCCCTTAGAGAAGGACCTCATTTTATGAGTATCTGAGGCTGAGAGAGAGCAGATTGACCTGTTTAAGATTTACCATTATGTTAATGTCATTACCATGACTTCCTGGCCAGGATTGTTTTCTCTGAGCATAGACCAGAAACCAGGAGAAACAGAACTTTTAATATGGCAATTTTGGCCTATTACAATATCGTAGAGCTCTTACTTTTATAATCCTTGGTGTAACATTTGCTTCTACAGGTCATGTGGCATTTGGTAGCATTTACCTTTAACCCAGGCCATTGGTAAATCTGAAGGGTCATTCTTTGTGCTCTTCAAGCCTGGGTTTTATCATAAGTCAAAATACTACCTAATAGTTTTAGAAAGAAAAATTTTTTTTTTTTTTTTGAGACAGTCTCACTGTCAGCAAGGCTGGAGTGCAGTGGCTTAACCTCCGCTTACTGCAGGCTTTGCCTCCTGGGCTCCAGCAATTCTCGTGCCTCAGCCTCCTGAGTAGCTGGGATTATAGGTGCCCACCACTGCAACTGGCTAGTTTTTTGTATTTTTAATAGAGACAGAGTTTCACCATGTTTGCCAGGCTGGTCTCGAACTCCTGACATCAGGTGATCTGCCCGCCTCAGCCTCCCAAATTACTGGGATTATGACATGAGCCACCGTGCTTGGCCTGGAAGCATCATTTCTAAAACACATTTCTAAAATGATATTAAAAACTATCAAGTGTCATCTATGTTCAAAAAGACAAAAGAAGAAAACAACTTACTGTGACTTCGGATAAGCTGCTTTTTCTAGGGATTCTCTATTCTAGCCTGTTTCCTTCCTACTTTATTGATGTAAGCATTGACTAAAACCAACTTCATTTTGCCCTACTCTGAGTAGATTTCACTCTGTTGTCTTTCTGCTTTTCTTCTAAAATTTAAAAAATATGTATTTTTTCCTTGAAATCATTTTGTCATTCTCCAAGGAGTATCCAAAGGAAAGTGTAGGGAACTCTGTCTTTCTGCTTTCATTTAAAATCCCAAATTCCTTACCCTAGAATATCTGCCTCCTTATAATCCAGTACTCTTCATTTTCTCTTTCCATCTAGTTCAGATAGGAATCTCCAAAACATGAATATTACTTTTCTTTCTTTCAGACAGGGTCTCACCTTGTCAGGAAGGCTGAAGTCCAGTTGTGTGAACACGTGAACATGGCTCACTGCAGCCTCAACCTCCTGGGCTCAGTCAACTGATCCTCCCACCTCAGTCTCCTGAGTAGCTGGCATGCCCCCATGCCCCCACACCTGGATGATTTTTTTAAGTAAATTGTAGACATGGAGTCTTGCTATGTTGCCCAGACTGGTCTCGAACTCCTAGGCTGAAGCGATTTTCCCATCTCGGCCTCTCAAAGCACTGAGATTACAGGCGGGAGCTACCATGCCCAGTTGAATATTAAAAACATCACTACACATCACTAAATATAAAATAGTAAAGTTGAAATATTAGTGATGGAGATGGCCTCCCAAAGTGCTGAGATTACAGGTGTGAGCCACCGTGCCTGGCTGAATATTTAAAACATCACTAAATTTAAAATAGTGAAGTTGAAATATTAGTGGACGGAGACTATTACACATGAAACACCTCAGAATATGTTGCCAGTTTTCTATGCCACTTAGGTTTTCTCTATGATTCTGTTGAAACGAACAGCGTCAAATGTGTCTGAGTTCATTTTCTGTACGTTGCCCTTTAAGACTCAGCATTAGAAAAGAAAGGGGCCAGAGGGAATAATCAATCTATTATTCTAATGTAACAGATGAGGAAACAGATTTTGTGAGAGAATAAAAGAAATATCTAAAGTCACACAGCTAGTAACTGTCAAAGCCAAAACTGACATGAGGTCTCTAGATTTCTACTTGAATACGTTCCCTGTTATTCCAACCCATTTGGGACTATAGGGGTAAAGAAATCTAAATTTAGGGTGAAGAAGTAGAATGAAAAACTGTCAAGAAAGTTTCTCTCTTTACCTGACATGGTCAGAGAAGAAGAAACATCAACTGTAGAATCAAGGGATGAAGATTCGATCCTAGTGAATGTCTGTGTGGCTGAAGCCAAGGAGTGAATGTGTCCAGTATGAAGGCCACCGGTCACACTGGTCACTGACCACACAGGCCAGTGATACAAATTTATAGGCTACCCCAAGATTCTACCAGCTGGCAATAGGCTTGGTGAGAGAATGATGTCACAGAGCAGGCAGTTTAAAGGTGTGCGATAGCCAATAGGGAGGCCAGATTCTCAGGAAGATGGGATTGGCTGGCAGAGGTGGTAGGAAAGCTGAAACAGTACCAAGTGGCTGAGTTCCAGGGAGGTGACATCCTGCATGATCATCTCAGTGTTTTCATATTTGTTCACTAATATCATTGACTGATATTTATATTTTATATGTCATATTTCATGTTATATAATACTAAACATTTATAATTGTATACTACATACACAGTACCCTTGCGGAGAAAGGAAAGGGACATCTAAGCTGAGCAATTACCATTGTTCTAAAAGCGTTTCAGTGAATCTGATTAATGAATTTACTGCTGCTTTTAAGGGCCAAACAAAGAGATTAAAGAGCCCTCTTCTGCAACTTGGTTGAAGGCAAAGTTCGTTGACTGTCCCTTGTAGGAAATGATGTGGTCCAAACCTCCTCTTTTATAATTTCTTCTCCTTGAATCCTACCTTCCTTGGGCTGGCCCACGCTGGGCCAGGTTGGACTTGGATCTCTCTTCTATTCTTCCTTTTTCTGCTTGATTTTAGGCATTGTTTCTGGGCTAAGCCTGGATCTTGGATTTTTACATTTATTAATATGACTTCCATTTAATATCCCCTTCCAGAGCAGGGGTCTTCTTTTCAGTGTCCTGATGTTTGGCAAACGGACTCTGCTCATGAGAAGCAAAGACTAGAGAGGTAGAAGACAGGGCTGACTGTAGACCTTCCCTCTTCTAGCCTTTGTTCACAATTCTGTTGCCCATAGTGTGCTACCTCTGACTCCTTGGGCCTCACAGACATCCTGCCATCCTGCTCTTTTATACGTGAGAGGCATTCAGGGTGCTTTCTTTCTTCTCACATGAGAGGATCCAGTGTGGCAGTTACTTATATCCTCCTCTCCATTGCAAACAGCCACTGTGGAATCTTGGGCCTTTAGAATGCCCTCTCGGCTGTGCTTGGATACAAGGGCCAGGCAAAATGAAGGGTTGAAGAATTTAGTGGAGAACAGGAAAGAGGCCAGGCGAGGGTACAAGAACAAAGAGATTTGTGTGCTTTTTTTAGTTTCTGTGAGAAACAATTACACACCCTTATTTTGTATTAATGGAACAGGCAATTCAATATTTTTTACATAGCTAGATAGTCCAGAAACTCTCATGAGTTTTGTACACTAAAGAAAATAATCATAATATATTTTTTCCATTTTGTTTCATGTCATATTGCTCATTTATATCATTCATTAGTATGTCTATAGAATGTAGATTGCTTTTATTTTATTATTTTCATTTATTTATTTTTGAGACAGCGTTTCACGCTTGTCTCCCAGGCTGGAGTGCAGTGGCACGATCTCGGCTCACTGGAACCTCTACCTCTTAGGTTCAAGCAATTCTCCTTCCTCAGCCTCCTCAGTAACTGGGATTATAGGCACCACCATCATGCCTAGGTGCTAATTTTTGCATTTTTAGTAGAGAGAGGGTTTCACCACGTTGGCCAGACTGGTCTGAAACTCCTGACCTCAGGTGATCTGCCCACCTCAGCCTCCCAAAGTGCTGGGATTATAGGCATGAGCCACTATGCCTGGCCTGTAGACTGTTTTTAAATGCCCTGGTTGTTCTGCATGTTTTTTCCCTGTCATATTTTTAAGGAATACAACATTGCAAGACATAGTGCACGTTTTTCTCATAATGGTTGTTTCTTTTGAGACATCGTGAACTATCTTGGCCTGATAGGTTTTGTAGAGGAAATTAAAGAGGGGTGTGTGAAAAACGCACTGTGGTGAGTTGTGCTGTGCGCTAAAGCAAAGGAAGAGATGTCTGCAGTCAGCTCAAGTTGACCTGGATTGCCTTGGTTTTTGTTTTCCTAGTTAGTGCTTTTCTCACTAACTTCTCTTCTAACTGTGATAAATGAGTTAGGGCTGAGTTACTGGTGATTTGTGTGGAATAAGCTGGTTTGGGGGAGGAAATCTATGGGTATAATCATTTTCCTTGGTTGTAAGCTTTCAGAAGCACCTGAATTGATCTTTTTTTTTTTTTTCTTGAGATGGAATCTCGCTCTGTTGCCCAGGCTGGAGGTTAGTGGCACAATCTTGGCTGACTGCAATCTCCAACTTTGGGCTTCAAGTAAGTCTCCTGCCTCAGACTCCTGAGTAGCTAGGATTACAAGTGCATAGCACCACACCCAGCTAATAATTGTAATTTTAGTAGAGGTGGGATTTCACCATGTTGGCCAGGCTGATCTCGAACTCCTGACCTCAGATGATCCGCCCAACTTGGCTTCTCAAAGTACTGGGATTACAGGTGTGAGCCACCATGTCTGGCCCTGAATTGATCTACTGAGGGACTTTTCTAGTGTGTGTGAGAAGGTACAGAATGCCAAGAGCCCACAAGAGGATAAACTCAAGATGGGACCTCTGAAGATAAGTATTGCATTTATAGACCTATTTTCTCATCTCTTCCAATAATGCTTCTAGTATTATGAGATAGGAATTTTTTTGTGATCATATGTGGGTCGGTGATGCTTATCTGAGAAGAAATTCAGAAAGGACTGACAGTGTAGAGTTAGGCTTAAGCTATACAAGGTTTTGAAGTTTTATTTTCCCCCTTTGAGCTTAGTTTCATCCCTCAGATAGCCTACTTTCATGCTTGCATGTAATGGGAGACTAAGACACACGAAGTATCTGCAAGTCAGACTAGAGTCTGTTTTCTTTATGTTCCAATGGAAATCAAGGGATTCCATCGCTACTACAGATTTTACTGGTGGTATAAGGTGGGAGGAGTACAGTAAGATTATTTCTGGTAGCAATAAAATGTTTACTTATTAAAATATTCAGTTCTAACATTCAATTCTAGTTAGGCAAATGCTTATTACAGGTTGACCTTTCTTGGTTCCCAGCCTCTATATTGATACTCTGTCCATAGTTCTAGCCACTTAACAATCTCCTTCAGTCTTAATATCATCTTAATCTCTAAAATAAATCTTAAATGTAGGATGAAGAACCTAAACACCTTGAGCACAACGCTCTGGAACTTAGCATTAAGTCCTACCATGACCTAAAGCTTCACTTTTTATAGTTAGGGCTTTGTCTTGTTTCAGAAACCTACTCCCTGCATTTTACACCTGTCAGGATGACTGGTACTTGGTGTAATGGAAACAGTCCTTCTACTGGTTAGGCCCTTCCTACTCTCTTCATATTCTCTTTCTGGTTTTATTGAAGACTGGAACCCCTCAAACTCTGATATGGTATCTGGGGCTTTAGCGGATACTGGTAGACTTGTCAGTATCAACTGTTTAGCTGTTTGGTGCTCTAAATATGCCTTGCTCCCGTGATTTCCATCCCAGAGTACTATACCCTTGTGAAGGCATTCTTCTGCCTCATGTTGGACTCAGTCTCATCTAAAGACCTACTCTTTGTCAGTTCCCATACTTTGTAGAAACCCTATTCTGCCTTGGTCTTGGTTTTGTTGTGTCAATTGTAACTGAGTTTGTTCTCACCCCAGTGTCGTATCTTTTAGCAAAATGAAGGGTAAGCCCAATATAGCTTTTCTAGTTTCTGAAAAACTTAGGTCACATTTTGTGTGTTGTCATGTCTATAGACATTTGTACCATATGTAGAATTGGGCTACTGTGCACCTATTGGATTTTTTTCATAAATTCCAAAAGAATATTGTATTATTTATTTAATTTTTTGCGTTGGAGTCCCTCTCTGTTGCCCAGGCTGGAGTGCAATGGCACGATCTTGGCTCACTAGAACCTCCGCCTCCTGCGTTCAAGGCATTCTCCTGCCTCTGCCCCCATGTAGCCTGGACTACCAGTGTGAGCCACCACGTCTGCCTAATTATTGGGCAAATTTTTGTATTTTTAGTAGAGACATGTTTTCACCTTGTTGTCAAGGCTGGTCTCCAACTCCTGACCTCAAGTGATCCACTTGCTTGGTCCTTCCAAAGTTCTGGGATTACAGGCATGAGTCACTGCGCCCTGCCAGCATCTTTTATAATTGAATGGCAAATGTAGTGTGGACTGGGTGCAGTGGCTCATGCCTGTAATGCCAGCACTTTGGGAGGCCAAGGCAGGCAGATCACTTGAGGTCAGGCGTTCAAGACCAGCCTGGCCAACTTGGTGACACCCCACCTATACTAAAAATATAACATTTAGCCAGGCATGGTGCTGCACACCTGTAGTCTCAGCTACTCAAGAAACTGAGGCAGGAGAATCATTTGAATCCAGGAGGCAGAGGTTCCAGTGAGCTGATCATGCTACTGCTTTCCAGCCTGTGCGACAGCGAGATTCCATCTCAACAACAACAATAACAAATAACTGAATGTTCCTGATTGTATCTTTGCTATGTTCAGCTAACATGTCTGTTTCTTTTTCCCATTAATAATTTATGAATATTGACACATTTTTAATGATGTGGAAATTTTCAGAATTGTAAAGGTTTATGTGTTTAAAACTAGTTGAAATATCACTGTCTCAAAAGTGTTAATAAAGCTACTGGCCTAGCTGTATTAACGTTCATTTATTCAATAACTCTGACCTTTCTGATCCTTGGTTTACCCAACTTAAAATGGCTGCAAAGATTACTAAAAATATATGTAAGATGCTTCCATAAATTAGAAACTAAAAAGTAAAAGTTACTTTTAAAAATCTGCAATCCTAATTACTTACAGTTTAATCTGGAATTTAGTATTCTATTCTGTTTTCAGAGCTGCTATAGGGCATGCTGTTCTTTGCTGTTCCACTTGTAGCAGAAGTCAACGTTTTTCTAACAGGTACAGATCTTTGTGCTTGAGACTGTGGGGAAACCTTGGACTTGAGCTCCACTTTTGGTTATTTTTGGTATTTGCTAAAACCTAACTACATTCTGTCCACTTCTAGCATGATACCTGCTATGTGATAGAACCCAGTAAAAGTTTAGCTGTGATGGGAGTGGATGTTTGTGCATTATTTTTGGAGGATAATTAGGTATATCTTTCAAAATTTTAAGTTTGTATGCTTTTTATTCTAGACATTCTACTTCTAGGAATTTAGATATAGCTGTATATGTGTATAAGGATGTTCACATTGCAGCATTGTCTGTAACAAGATTTCAAAAGAACCTGAAAACAACAAAAGGTC